CCCCAAAACCCCAAAACCCCAAAACCCCACAAAAGATATATAATATAGAAACCATCCGATAAAATGCTAAGTACTTGCAGTCTCCCTGTCGCCAATGAACTAGAACTTTATGCAGCCGATACATCTTTATACGAAAAACTTAATCCGTTTATTAAGAAAAGCAGAGGCATTCTTCCTGAAAGAAACATTTATGCAGCCGACAACGGATGATTAACAATTGTAAATAATGCTTGAGGATAAGATCTTTAGCTAACTTTTACTTGATATAGAATCAGAAAAACAGAAAGTATGATAAATACTGAAAGATAATGCACAAAGGAAGGGTTAATTCAGTTTGTGCTCTTTTAGACAACCCTAGCATGATTACCATTGCCAAAGCCTTGAAGAGAACTCAGAGCTTTTGCAGGGTTAAGTCCCTGTGTATCTTTCTCCATAAACCAACAAAGATGACAGGGTTATTGATGACCCAACTGATTTCTAATCTCCACAAAACAATCAACATGATTACGCTAGGAGAGTTTAGGCTTCCAGAAACTCATACATTAAAAATGCTTGATAGTGTAAACCAAGCTTTAGTCTTAAAATTCTATGACTGAAGATTTGACGAGGTGACAAGTCAGTTTAACTTTCAGAAAGAATATAATCTTAGAGTCATTAAGTTTGCTAGATGTCGTGACGCTAAAGGTGATGTATGGACTTATTCAAGTCCTGCTAGTGTGTCAATTCTGAATCTGATATCTCAGAGTTCAGTTTCAAAATATCTAGATCAAATAGATCTTGAAGAAATGGTTTTCTCCTTAAAGCAAGTATCAATCATTCAGAAAAAGACTGGGCTGAGAAACATAAGCCTTGGGCTCGGAACAAGTGTCATCTACAGAAGTCAAGGATATTAGGCTACTTAATCATCACATTTAGTAGAAAGAAGACTATGGCAGCTTTTTAGGTATGTTTTCTGAATCAAGACAATATTCAGCTATTAAGTCAATCAATATTCAGCTATTAAGTCGGGGTTTTGGGGTTTTGGGGTTTTGGGGTTTTGGGGTTTTGGGGTTTTGGGG